CCCAGAATGTTTTGAATCCATTTTGGGCAGCAATCTAGATTCATAAATTTTTGGTGTTATTATTATGTATTCGATGTCGAATGAAATAAATCATATAATAAAAAGAATAAAATTATATTTATTGGACTTGAAGAGGGCTAGAGGTGTATAAATTAATTCGGTAATAATCACGGGTGATGTGGCGATGATAAAATAAAAATCAACCGGTCAGTAAGGGGGTTTAATAGCAATTGACAATGATTCTGCAAAAAGAGATACATATGGCGAAGCGCCTGATTAATTTTGACCGCAATAACTTTGTTATACAAAAAATTGCTTATAACTAACTTAAACTAAATTACGGAAGCGTAAACATGCCCCCGGCCGTTGAAGGCTTGCATTCAACAGGACTCTTCTATCAGCGGGCAGATTTTCGAAAAGGCTCGTCTAATGATGCCGGTCGCAGTCTTAATATCAGCCACCCTGGAGATTCCGTCGGTGCTAGGATGAAGAGCAATAACTCGACCCAGTTTCCATTTCATTGGCAGCAAGTTGTTGTATTTAATAACGAATAAAGAGTTCAATTTTAGTGCATCCGTAGAGGATTTCCACTTGACTCTTAGCTGCAATTCTGACACATATTCTTTACTCCCTTGACCAAAAATTCTGTCGGAGTTGTTCAATGCGGTGGTGTCGAGTTAACATGTGACTGGAGCAATCACGAAGATCCTTCACAGGTAGAGATGTGAGCGGTCTTTCTATTAAAAAGTGACCGGGAGTAAGAGGCAACAAATCTTCAGGATTCGACGATAAAGGAGTGAGAGAATTTAAAATTCCTTCAATTGGAACTAATATAGTGTTAAATTCCTCATAAGTAAGGTGACAATTGCCTAACACTCTTATCAAATGAAATTTAGTCGACTTGACACCTGCCTCCCAAAGACCGCCAAAATGTGGAGCATAGGCAGGGATAAATGAAAGTTAACACCGTCACGAGCCGCGCTGTCAGATATAGAGTTACAATTTTGTTTTGAAAAATCTGTGATTTCATTACAAGCTCCTGTGAATGTCGTTCCACGGTCAGAAATAATATTAAGAGGTTTACCTCTCCGAGAAATAAACCTAATGCCTGCAGGTAACTATTGCTAGTCAAATCGCCTACCAGTTCTAAATGAATGGCTTTTGTCGTAAAACATATAAAAATAACGATATAGACCTTCACTAATCTACATCCACGACCTTGACGACTAGCTGAGGTTAAGGGCCTGCGTAATTAATCGAATTGTTGTATTAGTTTATTTTATAATTTTATAAGACATATACAAACTTTATGATGTTACTATAAATTAGAGGAAACATAAAATGATGACATTACAAGATGAATTCTTAAGCTATCATGTAGTTTTATTTTAATTAATATAATATTAATTTAATATAACATGGCGCAGTCGGTAGTTAATATAACAGAATAAGCTCATATCGAGGTAAAAGTTTTACAAAATGATGAGTGGACTGTAAATGAATTGGATGCTTTTTCTCGAAAGCGTATTCGGAATTATGTAGCCTACCTCCTTCCTACACGTATAATTTTATTAGCATCGAGAAATACACTTAATTTTAACAACGGTTTTTGTATGGTAAATTTTTATTATTCATTAATAAATCATACTTAGGAAAAGATTTTCTTTGTAACTGAGTTAATAAACAGTAGTTCAGTTTTAGAAAAATAAGCAGTGTTTTTTGTGCCTCTTCGTTTATAGGCATCAATATAGCGCAATACATAACAAAGGTACGTTATAATCCTAAAATATTAAAAAAAACGTTCAAATTTTATTAATCCTGTTTCTACAGTATTTTCATACGCGACATGAAGGTTAATATTTGTTTTTATTTTAGGTAATCTTAAAATCCTATGATGCGGAATGAAATAGGAATTATTTATATTAATTTGAATCTCTGACATAAGTGATAAATAAATATACTCAGACAAAGTCTTTATATACATTTATTTATTTATTTATTTATTTATTTATGTTTAGTGGTCCACAAAACAAATGACAATCAAATATATATAAAATAAGAATAGCTTGCAAAATTAATGCACAAGATTGCATTTTTCTAGATGCAGACACAGCATGCATATATAACAAAACTTAATATTACAAAAAACAAGATTTAAACTACGGTAACAATGAGGAACGGCTTTAATCTACTAACAATAAAGAAAAATCTTAAAAAAAATATATGAATTACAGCTATTAAACTAAACAATTTGCTTTAATTTTTTACGTAAATAGGCTATAGAGGTATTATTAAAAATATCTAATTTAAAACGAATAGTATCATACGCTGAACACATGCGGAATAAGGGCGAGTGGCTTATTACATTAGTTCTCGCGTTGGGAAGATAAAATGTCTTACGATTTTGTAGACGACTACTAGGACGTGGTATACAAAAGTTTAGTCGTTGTAAAAGATCAGGTGAGTCAATATACCCATGAATAAGCTTGTACAAAAAAATTATATCAAGTATTTTTCTACGTGTAGATAGAGAAATAACTTTGTAATGACTTAGTCTTTGTATATAAGAATTTAATTCATGACATTTGTTGTCTGTGTAGGATACGTGATATAAAAATCTTTTTTGGACACATTCTAATCTATTTACGTGAATTTGATAGGATGGGCTCCATGCTGTACTACAGTATTCCAATAAATTTCGAACTAATGTATTAAATATAAGAATAGTGATATTTGGTTGCTTAAATAACTTTAGTTGTCTATTAATAAAACCTGATAATTTTTAAGCTTTTTTTATTATGTTATCAAAATGTTGCCTGAAACTAAGAGAACTATCGAATATAACACCCAGCTCTCGCATACTTTTGACTTCTTGGATAGGTAAATTATTAATATGATATGTAACTGGTTCAGAATTAATTTTTCGCGAAAATTTTAAAAAGAAACACTTCGTGGAATTGAGATACATTTGATTAAAATTACACCAATTGACAATAAAGTTTACATCTGTTTGTAAAATTTCCTTATCAGAATCATCATTCATAACACGATAAACTTTTAAGTCATCGGCAAAAAATTTAAAATTTGATTTAATATTATTACATAAATCATTAATAAATATTAAAAATAGCAATGGGCCAAGATGTGACCCTTGGGGAACTCCAGAAGTTACTTCGCACTCTTCTGATTTAAAACCACGAATATATACTAACTGCGAGCGGTTCTTTAAGTAAGATTCAATCCATCTTAACAAACTACCGTGGATACCCATATTCTCAATTTTCTTTAACAATAATTTATGATTCACTAGATCAAATGCTTTTTTGAAATCAGTATATATAGAATGGACTTCTTTCTTTTTATCTAAACCTTCTGCAATATCAGATACATAAGAAACTAAATTAGACGCTGTTGACTTACCGGGTAAAAAGCCATGTTGGTTACAATTTATGTACCGACGTACATGATTCATTATATGTTTATTAACTATTGATTCCAATATTTTTCCACAATTTGATAATAACGAAATAGGACGGTATGCACTCACATTACTCACATCTCCACCCTTATGAATAGGTGATAGATAAGCCTTTTTCCATTCAGAAGGAAATATCCCAGTTTCCAATGAATCTTATTATAAATTTTACATAATGGCTTATATAAATTATTTGCACATTTTTTTAGAAATGATGAAGGTAAACTATCAGGACCAGGAGATTTATTTATATTTATAGATTGGAGATGTTTTAAAACATCATTTTCATGTACAACTAATTTGCCAAGTGATAAATAATAATGTTGTATAGTATTGAACGTTTGTGTCGGCATAGAATTAGCTTGGTTTAAACTATATATACTTTGGAAATGTTTAGAAAAAAGATTGCATATTTCTTGCCCTCCTATTGCTTTTTCGTTACAGAGCATCATTTCATTAGGGATTGAAGCACAATTACTCTTTCGTTCCTTAAAAAATTTCCAAAAATAGTGTGGATTCCGTCGTAATTGGTTAGGAGCGTTACTTATAAAATTAGAATAACATTCTTTTAATAATAAATCACATCGTTCTTGTAAAATTACATAACTTAAATTGTCCATTTCATTTCCGTAAACTTTATATTTTTTATGATATTTCGCTTTTTCTTTAAGAGCTTTAATAAGTGATAATGAAAACCAAGTAGGAAAGCTCTCATTCATTGGTTTTCTAAGAGGAGTAAACTTATCTATAATTGGTGTTAGAGTTAAATAAAATATTTTAATCATTTCATCGATATGTATACATCCGTCCCAAAGAGCAGACCAATCGATTAATTCTAGAGCTGAATTTACAGATTCATAATCACACTTTGCAAAGTTATATGATAGTATTTTATTATATTTTAGAGTATTATATGATGACGTTTGATAACAAATTTCTAAAGGAGGGTGATGAATTTCTGGAGGTATTATAGGAGTTGAAACTTCGTTTATAGTTATACAAGAAGGATCCGTGGAAAAAACTAAATCAAGAATTTTACCATTTCCATTTAAAACGTGATTGCATTGATAAAGATTATTAAAGGATATATTGTCCAAAAAATTATTTACTATGCAGCTATCCGACATTAAAGGGGACAGAAAACATCGGCTTATATTATACTCCCACAATAGATCACTTAAATTAAAATCACCAATTAAGATTGTAGATGATTTCCTATTTATATTTGCTAATACACGCGAAAGATTTCGAATAAATGTGTCAACATAGCATCCATCTAATGGAGGTGGCAAATAAGCTACACATATATTAATAATATTATTTTTACCTAACCTCAAGCTAATCCATAGGTCTTCACATGAACACTCCCAATCGAGTTTTCGAATAATTTCAAACTTTTTTAAAACAGCAATCATAACACCACCCCCATCTTTTTTGTGAGAAGAAGATATGGAAGAAGACCTATCTCGTCTGAATACATTATATCTTTGATCAATGACTTCATGATCAAATACCGTATCGTTTAGCCACGTTTCTGTTAAAATTATCAAATCATAATTATTAGCTAATACAGTGACATAAAAATTATCCACCTTTGTGCGTAAGCCTCTCACGTCTTGATAATATATATTTAAATTGAATTTAAAACTATATATTCTCCATTACATACATTAAATAATTAATATAACTACAATAATAAAAATAACTACAATTACAATGTTTCTAAAAAGTTCTTGTCCTTAATCAATTTAGCCTCTGACTTACTATTCTTTCGCACAAAGATTTTACCCTCTCGTATCCATATAAATTCATATTTTTTTTCCTTTGCGATTATTCTAGTAGCTGCATGCAATTGCTTATTTGCAGGGGATAAATGTTCCATTGCATAGATCGGCTGACTAGTTGTAAATCCAAGATGTGAGGAATTAAGCTTTGAATCTTTGTTCTTAAAGTTATATAATTTAATAGCCGCTAGAAAATTATCACGAACTCTAGGGCTAAACATTTTTAAAACAATACTGCGAGGTCTTTTGCTATCCGAATTAAATTTAGCAACCCTGTGACAACTTAACACATCTTTATCGCATAACTTGTACGACACAGTACTGGCTAGTTGTTGAATGATGGTCAATAAATTTTCAGTTTTATGCTCAGGTACGCATTGGAGTTCAATATTCGATTCTCGTGACCTTTGCTCTATTTCAGCGAGATGACAAGATATATCATTTAATTGAGTTTTTAAAGAATTATTTTCAGCTGCGAGTTTAGAGATTATCTTAGTGTTTTCGGCATTAATTTTTATTTGATCATCATGCACTTCTGAAAGAAAATTTACAGACTTAGTAACTTCATCCAATTCCTTTCGAATTTCGGAGAATTTTGAGCCAAGCTCCTTGATATCTTTCTGCAGGCAAAGTATAGACGAGTCGAATTTATTCAAGCATAAATGTTGTTCAGCAAATTTTTTATTTATTTCACTTCTTAAACTACGTATTTCATCAAGAACCATTTCTTGGAAAGAATTTGTAATCGATATAGAAGCGTTCGGGGATGTATTGGCAGGAACTGGGGAATTCTTTTTCGTAAACCCATTGCTATCGTCCTCTCCCTTAGAGGAATGCTTACTGCACGTAGGACATGTCCACTTAGCACGTGATATAGAGGTCTCATTAAATTTTACGCATTCCTGATGATATTGATTGGAACAATTTGCAGATGAGCATCTAACACGTTTCTGTGTAACCAGAATACTTACAGTACACGATGAACAAATAACCATTTTGATGAATATTTTCAAGACAAAAAATGACGAAAAATGATTTTCTTACTCAAAGCACATCAATTTATTTAAATATTTTATATATTTTATTTTATCAATTATATATTTGTCAGAAAATAACAACCGTTACCCGTTACATCTTATCTAATGAGGCTTAATTTTTATTTCTGCGCTCAAGTGACAGAAAATAGCGTTCAGCATGATTAAATGAATCGCCTAAAATATCGAATGATTCCTTTAACGGTATTCTAACGCAAAAACGTGTAACGATAAACGTGACGTATTTTTAACAAAATGTTCTTCACACATTTTCTTGTAATGAATAAGTAGATGACTCATGGCATACCTCCTCGAGCTGCCAGAAACGCGTTAATTGGTTTCGAATGTCATCATGCTCATCTAAATGTGTGGAACATTGTTTATTAAAATTGCATTGTATAGGTGAAGACCGAGTGTTAAAACAATTATTATGGCCGCCGTTAATTGGACCACTAACTAACCATCCAAGACTAGTTTGATAAAGTATCGGTAATCTATCACCTAATATAATTTTTTCGGATCCTAAGAGACTCCAAAAAACATCCGCTCCAATAATTAAATCAATGGAACCCGGTGTGTGAAAATAAGGATCAGCTAAGTTTATGTTCGACGGTATATCTAGTTGTACCTGCTTAGCGGGGATCTTATCAGTGATTGAAGGCAAAATGAAACATAATAAATCGTTTGAATAATTTCCATTTAAGGACTGAATATTTAAATGACAAAGTTTGTCCACAAGAGACGACGAATTATTAATACCCTGTATATACTTATTAGTCTTAAGATAAGGCAGTTTTAATTTTTTAAATAAATTTTCCGTCATTAAACATGAAGAGCTGCCGGAATCAAGAAGAGCGCGGACGATATGTGTTTTATTATTAATATCGTTGCACTTCACTAATGCAGTTGATAAAAGGACTTCGCTCGAACTACTCGCAGTCGCACAATGCGTGTGCGCAGGTGTACATGTCAATAGTGTGGTGTGAGCGTTATCAGTAACGGTAGTGCTATTAATCTTATTCGTATCGAACGTACAAGTTTTGTTTACATCAGATTTTTTATGCAAATCTGTGTTGTGTATTAGAGTATGGTGTTTACGCTTACAGATTTTACACCCTGACTTTTTACATTGACTAGGGTAGTGACCGCGACGAAAACAATTGTAACAAATCTTATAATTCGGTATTAATGACATTCGTTCAGAGATAGATAGTGATAAAAATTGTGGACAAACGTTTAGGTTATGATCGCCATTACACTTAGGACAATAATTATGTGAGCTTGTATTATTGACATTGTTAGAATAATTCGAAGTGGAAACTAAAGTTTTAAATTTTAAATTTTTATTTGTACTTTCCTTATTTGTGTGAGAATGACGAGATATTTCTAAAGTTTCTATTAAATCCGCACGATTTCTCAAGAATTCTATAAAATTTTCAAAAGAGATTAACTTATTTTTGTCTAAATGCCCTTTATATTCCTCCCATTCTCTTAATGTTGTAGAATCTAACTTTGAACTTATTATATATATATTAATAATGTGTCGGCCAGCCAGCTATGAACCGGTTTGCCTATTGTATTTAAAGACCTAATATTTTTATTTACTTGATCAATCATTCGCTTTAGTGATATTGAAGACTCCTTAGTTATTGGTTCGAGCTTGAACAGAGCTGACACATGATTGTGAATAAGTAACCGTTTGTTGTTGAATCTGTCACACAGTAGTTCCCAGGCTATGATATAATTTTGAGCAGAAAACTGAATAGATTGTATTACGACAGCAGCGGAACCTTCCAGTGATGACCTTAGATAGTGAAATTTATTAATTTCCTCTATGTTGTCATTGTTGTGAATGAGACTAGAAAAGGTATCGCGAAATTCTAGCCAGTTATCATACGAACCTGAGAATTTAGGTAAATCGATAGTAGGCAATTTGACTAGCTGTTGCTTAGAGTTACTAGAAGTTGATTTTACGCCATCTTGTTCTAATTTTGAATATATATTGATAAGATTTTTAGCCTGAGCTAATAATGAATAATATTGTGATTCTACAGCGGTTCGTTCAACTAATTCAATGTCAATGTTATCCGTTAAGCATTCTAATTGTGATTGAACTTCATTAAACTCATTGTATAAGCTCTCTAACTTATCTGTTCGTAATTGTAACTCCATCGCCTGACAGGCGGTCAGTTCGGCATCATTTAAAGTACCTAAATAATTTCCAAAAACTGTTAATCTACATTTATAACTGCCACGCTTCTTTTTAAGCTCCTTAATGTCAGTCATTTTGGGATACAGATGATGTCGATCTGAAACTTTACAAACAAAGGTTTTAGAGATATAGTAACTAATAAATCACAACCAAAATAAAAGTGATAACTTGTTTTACTGATAATTGATTAAATGATTTTATCTAACAATAATTTTCGATTTAACTTAAATATTTTTTTTTTAAAGCTCACAAATAAATTATTTGCTAAACTGTTACTTTATAATTGGAAGTAAATTTTAATAAAATAAAATATCTACACTGAATATGCAAAATTAATAACTTAAATTTGAAGTTTATATAATATAATTAAAATGTATTTTGTAAAAATACTTACACTAGGAACAGTTATCTAATGTCACATTTATAAGTTACTGTACTGTATTATTTAAGTAAGTGATAAACTATACCTAATATTTATTATATTTTACCAAATTTATTGTTAGTAAAAATTAATAACATATATTTGAAGTTTATATAATATAATTAAAATGTATTTCGTAAAAATACTTACACTAGGAACAGTTATCTAATGTAACATTTATAAGTTACTGTACTGTATTATTTAAGTAAGTGATAAACTATACCTAATATTTATTATATTTTACCAAATTTATTGTTAGTAAAAATTAATAACATATATTTGAAGTTTATATAATATAATTAAAATGTATTTCGTAAAAATATTTATACTAGGAACAGTTATCTAATGTAACATTTATAAGTTACTGTACTGTATTATTTAAGTAAGTGATAAACTATACCTAATATTTATTATATTTTACCAAATTTATTGTTAATATCTCATTTTAATTACATTTGTAGATATTTGTAATAAAGTTTTAAAAGTTTTAACTTACTGACCTTGCCCAATGTCACACGTGCTTAACGTGCTTTAATTACCTGATTTAATGTTTAATTTGTAGACATGTTGGGTTTTATTAATAAATATAATGATAAACACTATTCTGATTTTTATTTTAAGCACTTATTGTCTATAACTCACTCGAATTTAACAATCTTCACCTCTATACTCCATACGGCACTTGGTCACTTTTTAATTATTTTTAATATTGTTTATATATTTCCTTTATTTTTATCCGTCTCGTAATGGACCATGAAGAGGGCTAGAGGTGTATAAATTAATTCGGTAATAATCACGGGTGATGTGGCGATGATAAAATAAAAATCAACCGGTCAGTAAGGGGGTTTAATAGCAATTGACAATGATTCTGCAAAAAATAGATACATATGGCGAAGCGCCTGATTAATTTTGACCGCAATAACTTTGTTATACAAAAAATTGCTTATAACGAACTTAAACTAAATTACGGAAGCGTAAACAGGACTCATTTTGAATACCAAAACCCAGAATGTTTTGAATCCATTTTGGGCAGCAATCTAGATTCATTCAGAATAGAAATTAAATTTAAATCGCCGATAGATTTTTTATTCAATTAAAATAAATTCATTCTCATATTAATCATACTTCAATTTAAATTTTTGGTCTGGTTATTTTATTATGTATTCGATGTCGAATGAAATAGTTCATATAATAAAAAGAATAAAATTATATTTATTGGACTCATTTTGTTTCTTATTCCCCCCACCGAGGCGTGAGCTCCTACCCCTGTTCTACTACTGCACAACTCGGAGTATATAGTAGAAAGAGTTCGCGCGCGAGAGAACATCGTAATATATAGCCATCGAGCGCGTGCCCATACAAAATCACGAAATTGTGGTGGGGATAAAGGAAAACTTTCCGTCGTGTTCGAACCACGGCACGCGTATCATCAATACACCGAATTGAATCGAGAATGGATTCAATTTAATAGGAGCGTGCTTATCTCGATACGCGTCATATTTTAAATTGTCCAATTGAAACCGCAACGCAATTAATATATTATACATCTCGAATTGAATCCAACATAGACGCGAATGAAAAATATATTAATCGTCCATTGATTATGTTTCGAATAAGAAAATTATAGTATCAACACCGACCCATTTAGACATATAATCAATATTTATATCAAATGTGGATAAACCAAAATAGATACGAATGAAAAATATATTAATATTCCATTGATTGTGTTTCGAATAAGAAAATTAATGTCAACACCGACCCATTCAGATTATAATCAACAATTAATAAATTTTATATCAAATGTGGGTAAGCATGTTGACATTGATGTAAGTCCCGAATTAAAAATTGCATCAAGTTTGAACAAATCCACGATTCGCTACAATGATTGGTATCATCGGTTGAATATTCTCAATTATATAATATTATTAATATGCCTTAGTAGTTCTAATGTCGAATTAGCCGGTCAATGGACAACGCTAATTAAAGACTTTTAAATTTTTCAAAATTCAACATTGTGGTCCAGAATGAATCATCTCATATTACGTAATTAAATTATTAAAGTATTGTTATTAAAGTATTGTTTTTTTTACATCTCAGTTTAAACCTATCCCTTTGGGCAGATATATAAAACGACGCTCATCATAAGCGATCATCAGTCTTAAACTGGGCAATATCAAACAACTGTGCCTCTGCCAGATATAGAGTCTCAGTATCGACTTGTTCCTCTGTCGGGTATACAAGGGAGGCTCATCATAGCGAGTCTCAGTCGCAACCAATTCCTCTGCCGGGTATACAAGGGAAGTTCGGCATAGCGAGTCTCAGTCT